ATTTCCTTCTGCGCATACGCACACACATATATCTACATCCCCCTTTTTAACAGCAATCCGTTGAATCCAACTGTCTACAGGAGCTTGTAAAAAATACACCTACAACTGCCTCCCTAAACGGTCGGCCAATAGGAAAACTACATATACTCCTTTCTCTAGAAAATTTCGGTTGCATGCAGCCCACTGGAAGGCCGCCCGATAGGATAAGATCGTTGAGATCAGTGCGTTTTCCCTTCAGGATGATAGTTGTGATTAACATGGGAACCAGAATATTTTGATTTCTATTGAAGACAGGTGCCTAAAAGCAGACGCTTAAAGATGTGCACTGATAAGCTGTAGACAAACTAAATACCCTCTTGCAGAAAGTTTATGTATTAGGAATTTTAGCAGAGAATCTCACATGCAAAGTACAGTACCGAAGTGGGAATGCAACTTGTAAGAACACTGATAAATACATCTTGGTCAGACTGAAGGATGCAACTTACCAACCAGTTGATATGACGTGTTCACATTGGGGCAGGCTGGATACGCTACAAACGCCCATTTCGTGTCTATAAAAGGAGGTAAGAGTTCAGTTTTTTTTAGTAATTAGACAAAGTATGTAGAAAGAACCAGTCCAAACAGTAAACCCCGGAAAGGCAGGTACTACTGAGTATTTGCGCAAGCACTTTACCACCAAACAGTCGCGTGGCGTTTGTTTTTAATCTCTCTTCCTTGGTCTGCCCTATGGAAGCAGCACTTTGTTTTTTTCGCTGTTCTGTAACCTACAGGGTGATGTGAAAATCGCTCTCTTCGGGAAAAATAACTAATGCTGTACTATGGGTGTTGAAAAGCCATGCGTCTAGAGGGGGTGCATATACATAACCTTTGCGGACACGGGCGCCAGTAAGTATAGGGAGATTAACAGTTGCCTAGCGATTGAGACTGAGTTACTATCATGCACGTACGCAAGGAGGATTTTATTAGGAGACAGAATTTACGGTGTCCTTAACGTTCCTGCAAAGATCTGTACTATCGACAATAGCTACCGACAACGGCAGGGAACAATGAAACGACCATTTCCAGATTATTTGCTATTGATTGTAATCACAATCGCTTCCATTATGCGCCACAGTTGCATGTATCCTAGCCGACGACGACTTACAGTCGTTAAATACTTTGCCCGGAGTCCGCCAAAGAGGTACTCTGTTGCCTATTCCGTTTGTTGACTTTATTGGGTAGATTCTCAGAGTCAAGCGGTCCTAACGACGTCAAACCTGAGTCCCCACGTAAAAACGGCCGAAATTGACTTGGTTAACAACTAGAGGCCAAGTAGGCAAGTTAGGTCTCGAGAAAGAGATCGGAAAATTGTTTACTCTCCATAGATACTGCAAAAACCGATGTGCTTCCGACCCGCGTTTCGCCATCAAGACGACGCACCTTCCTCCGACTGACTGCCGTCAACCCGAAGAAGTGAATATCTCTGCGCATCTTGAGGCCAAGTTTCTGTCGACCAGACGAAGTTCAGACGAGATAATCGGCTGTACTGATAAGGCTAAGAAGTGCTGTTTTAACTCTTTATGCTGCATACGAAAGAGCGGCGACATTCCCAGTACTGAAAATGACTGTCCGTATTGAGAATCCATCCAATTAGTTCTGCCATACGACGAGGAAGACAGAGAGCAGGGACACATTTAGAAAAGAATCGATAAACTTTAACAGCAGAATTTTGAGAAAAACCCGTGGGTAAAAGCTGACATATCTCACTTTACACTTTCTGTGATTATATCGATAAAATATCCAAAACCCCAAAAAGACGTCTCAACTGAGTCTAAGCACATCATGCGTCATCCATCTGAAGGACGCAACGTTGTTGTTCTAGACACGACGTTGCATCCTCCGTAAGCCAAGAAGAGGCCTTTGGTTGAAGAAGCGAGTTGACACGCCCTGTGGGTCTTGACTCATCAACATATAATATGCGCGGCTGCATGTTAGTGGTTCAAACTCAGCAAACGCTCAGGCGAAAATTCCGGACAACGCCAGGCAGTGCAAGATATAACAGAGACCGGACAGTCCAGCTTTTAAATTTCCTGAGAAATTAATTTATGTTCGCGGTATACATCAGTATATTTAAGGTGTATAGGCGTAGACCGAAATTGTAAG